TTATAAGATCAATTTATTTTAGCCTAACCCAACTAAATATATTTTAGATTTGTTTACAATAATTTAATACTAAACAAACACAGTGAAATATATTTTTATCGTTAGGTTCAGAATGATTTTGGCGAAATTATTGTATACACAAATTTTCACTTGTCCTATATGGCAAGATGAACGTTGCTATTTAAGCCAATGTCGCAAGTTCTGCCTATTCGGCACGACATATATTATATATATTTTATATAATATATATATATATATATATATGTATATGTATATATATATATATATATATATATATATATATATATATATATATATATATATATATATATATATATATATATATATATATATATATATATAAAATATATATATACATGCATGTACACATGCACGCACGCACACGCACATAAACACAAAAAAGGCCTTAAACGAATATTCTGCAACAGGCTGTGAGTAACTGTAATCGAAGCTGAATATAATTAATTATTTTTTTAACATTTGTAATTGAACTTTTTTCATTCAAAATTATTCGTAAACATGATTGAAACAGACTTTTACCCAGGTTATGGCTGCTTAAATTACGACATGAAACGGGGCCACTCTGATTTTTTAACGTCAGAAAATGTAATTGCATGTGTTGTCCAGCTCTTGGGCTCTGACAGGGAAAATGTAACTAGTGGTATATTCTTTTGTGCATTGTTCAAATAATTACATTTGTACTCCCTAGAACGCAGGCGAGAGAGATACATGATAATATATACTTGGAAAATCGTAGAGGGATTAGTACCAAACTTGCACACGAAAATCACTCCCAATGAAAGCAAAAGACTCGGCAGACGATGCAACATTCCCGAATGAAAAGAAGGGGTGCCACTAGCCCCTGCTAGTGACAGCACAATAAGTGTCAGGAGCCCAAGACTGTTCAACTGCCTCCCAGCATACATAAGAGGGATTGCCAATAGACCCCTGGCTGTCAAAAGCAGCCACTGGACAGGCATCTAAAGTCAGTACGTGACCAGCCGGGCTGTGGTTCGCACTTCGGGTTGTGTGCGGCCAGCAGTAACAGCCTGGTTAATCAGACCCTGATCCACCATGAGGCCTCCAGTGTGAAGTCAATTTTTTTTGCGGGTTATAATCCAAATATTTGAGAATGACTTCCACGTCAGGAAAAGTCGTGATTGAAGAATATAATTGAAGAATTTTTGCCTTCAGTTATCATGTGATTTGTGACCGTAATTGTTATTAGTGATTTTTCCTGGTTAAGTAATTTCGATCATAAATGTAAATAAAAATATGGAAAAGTAACTGTGTGAATGACTTTAAATTATGTAATTGCTACAAGGCTGAGTATACAAGAGTGGGAGGGAGAGAGAGAGAGAGAGAGAGAGAGAGAGATAAAGCTGACCTATGATTTGTAAATGACATAGCAGCAAAAGTCAAGCTTCAGTTGAGACTATGGTCAGTACCACAGAGCTTTAAGGGAAAAAAGAATACCCCGACGGGCACTTGACAACATATACTCAACAGGTAAGAATGTGAGATTCTGAGTGAGATGAATGTCTCGAGGACAATCGGACCTAAGAATGTATCACCATGGATTCTGCGAGACGGAGCGGAAGTACCGTCTGGACCACAACTTAAGATCTACAAGGAGTCAGTGAACACGGGGCAGTTGCCAGAGATCTGGAAGGTAATAATGCTAGATTTACCGACAAAATATTAGGTAAATGAACAAAGATACAAGTAATGTGACTTTTTATTGTGGCAAGGTTTCGGTTTCCATAAGCTCTGTGTCTTGTAATGTTTGTAACGGCTTGACAAAGTCCTGGGGAGCGAAACGTTGCCACAATAAAACGTCATATAAGTTGCATCTGTGTCTATTTCAGAAACAGAGATCTTGAGGTCAGCGAATGTAGTGTCTATAGTTACGAGTCGAGACAGACATGAAGCACTGAACTACAGACCTGTAGCACTGACTTGCATTCCATGCAAGGTAAAGAAGATAATCAGAGGGCGAGAGATAGAGCAGTGGCTCAGAGATGACAAATCTTGTCTTACAGACCTGTTGGAATTTTATGACAAAGAAATTTGGGCGAAAATTTGAGGTGCAAACAGGAACAACAGGCAACGTTTCCCGGTGTTTCCAAAGATTATATTAAAGACAAGGAAACAGGGAGAAATGTTGTTAGCGAAGTGATAAGTAGGTCATATATGCAACAGTTAGGTATTTTTATTCCGAAACGTTTCGTCTACACAGTAGGCTTCTTCACTGAACCATTTATCTACATTCTTCAGTCAAGTACAGAGGAGTTGGCAGAAGCAGTTGAGACGTAAAGACTATGTAATCAGTCCATTACCATGGAAGACGTAACTTTGAGGTGGTCAGTCCCTCAGCCTGGAGAAGAGTTGCTCCATAGTCTGGAACAACAAACGGGGTACCTCAATTATCGGCACTAGGACTAGGGCTGTTTCAGGTACTGACTTAACAGATGGGATG